TGGGCCTGTTCCACGTGGTGTATCTCTTCAGGTATACTTTGGAATTTTCAGAAAATCTGAATATTTTGACCTAGTTTTGTAGAGCCTTGGAAATAAGATAGGTTTTTTTCCTGAAAATTCCTGTCTAGCGAAGATAGTCGCTATTTTTTAAACAAAAGTCTGAAAATCTAGGAGGTTTAAAAATTGAATTTAGTACAAAAAAAACAAAGAAAATAGCGGTCAGTACCGGTGTGTTTGAGTATAGCGAAAAGGTGTGAGTCGGAGGACGCGCCTTATTTCTTCCTCTTCCTTTTTTTCTCTAAATTTCCCTTCCGTTGAAAAAAACACCCCACACTAAAAAGTAGATCAAATATTTGTCGAGTTCGACTTTTATTTTTCGTCTAAACCTTTTTTCTTTTAACTGAATAAGAGTGACCAATTGTTTTCTTGGGTGCTTTTTCGTTGTCCTACATCGTCCATTTTGAGCTCGTATATCTCGGCTCCTGTAAAAGATTACAAAAAGTGGTCAACTGACAAAATGTGTAAAAATTTATGGCAAATATTTTATTAGTTGACCAAACTTTGATATCTCTTACTAGAACCGAGATATATGAACTCAAAGATGGAGCTCAATGGGCTCAAAGGGGTGGCGAGGTCTATTGCAGTCTTTATGGTATTAAGTCTAACTTTATTCAAAGTAAGAAAATCCTAAAATTTTCCTAGGAAACACAAATAAAAAAGCTGCTTTTTTCCTCCGAAAATGTAGCTGGAGACATAAAAATAAAAGCAAAATTTGGGGAAGAAAAATCGGGGAAAAGGAGAAGAAGCGGAAACAAAAAGAAGAGGAAGAAGGGGTCAAATAGGAAGAGAGAATGGATAGACAAATTTATAAACAAAATTCAGAAATGAAAAGAGTGAGAGAGAGAGAGAGAGAGAGAGAAACGTAGCTCAAAATGCTCGGAGGTCCTTTCACTTTGAGCTTAATTATCTCGGTTCCTATAAAAGATATCAAAAATCTGTAAACTGATAAAATATAGCCAATATTATGATAAACATTTTATCAGTTAACACAATTTTGATATTTCTTAGAGGAACCTAGATAATTGGGTTCAAAATGCGAGTGACGTTATATTAAAGTATTAGTGGCAAACTGTTCAAAACATGGAACCAAATTTGACAGTTCTCAACTTGGTTGTTTTTGGTGAAAACTGAAAATTTTCATTTTTTATTAATATCAGAAAACTGTTTTTCTAGAAAACACCAAATAAAAAATTAATGGGCATGGAAAGCCCATCACCCTCCTAGTAGGAGGTTCCACCGATTCTGATCACCTTCACATTCTATCTCAATTATCTCGTTGCCTATGGGAAATATCAAAAAGTGGTCAACTAATAAAATGTGTAGCTAATCCTCATTAACATTTCATTAGTTGACACCTTCTCGATATCTCCCACAGGAAACGAGATAATTATGATTGTAAACAAAATACTGTAGACACTACAATATAAAGCATTGCCAACTTTGAGCTTAATTATCTCCTTTTCTATAGGGAATATCTATAAGCAATCAACTAACGAAATGTGTAGCTAATCTTCTTCAAAATTTTACTAGTAGACATCTTTTTGATATCTCACACATAAAAGGAAATAATTAAGCTTGAAGTACAAGTATGGATTGACACCTGTGGCTGTTTTTGGAGAACTCAGGAAATTCTAAGACTTTCTGAATGCCGAGAACTTGAGTTCTTGAAAACTCGAAATTAAATAAAAGATTCGTGTCTTTACAAGGGAAGGTTTTTTAGACAACGGTTGAGAATTCGCTCAAAATTTGCATGCTTATAGTTTAAGACATGCTCTATACGATGACGAAAAAATTTTTAGCCCGTTCTTACTCCCAGGCCGAAAAACTTTGTCTGAAAATTTGGGCCGATTTCGGTCCGCTGGGGATTTCGGCTTCCCCTTCCCTCCTCTACCAATTCCAGGAAAATATCGCTTGTGTGGTGTTGTGGTAAGAGGGTGACTCATTAGGATTGGCTATGCTGGTTCGACCCCGACTGTGGTAAAACTTTTTGCATTTTTTGAAACTAATTTTTGATTCCAAGTTTGCCCCCCTAGGCACTATATGACACTTTTTGATTAATTTCAAAAAGTTTTCAAAGAAAAAAAAGATTTCATGAGAGTTTGAGGAAAAAATAGATAATGGTCTTTCGACCGGTTCTTACATCCTCGTATCGTAAAAAACGAAAATTTCAGTCTCTGAAAGTTGCTCAATTTTGCTCTTTTTGAGGTGGAGTACTGTCAAATCGATCACATACAAGATTCGAACCTATTTCTATAGGTTTCAGTTAAGTTCAAGCGATATTTCAGAAATTAGGAACTGTCAAAGTTCTAACAACAATCAGATTTTGGAAATTTTTTGAGCCCAAAGACAACATTGGGCTGAAAAAAATTGTCAGAATGCTATTTTTATCGTTTCTGAATAATTGGAACGTTTTTTCGCACTTTTCAAAAAATTTTCAAAAAATCACTTTTGCAGTGTGGGGGACCCCATGGTGATTTTTTTCAAAATTTTTCAAAAAAAATTTTTTTTTTAATTTTTAACCTCGAAAAATGCATGTTTTTGGCCAAAATTTAGTACTAAAAGCACTTTCAGAGGCCATATTTCGGCTCCTTTTGAGAACGGGCTAAAAATTTTTTTGGATTCGGATTCAGCATGTTCGAAAGTACCTTTGTACAAATTTTGAGCAAATTCTCAACCGTTGTCTGAAAAACCTGTTAGATAAGACCTAAAAACCAAAATAGAAGTGTCGGTTTTCTCACAAAAACCGCCGCCGCACCGATTTTTCGGAATTTTCTCGAAAAATCTAGATATGGTATTCTAAGAGCGGCGTGTCTAATAGACTGGGTTAATGAGTAGCAGTTAGTCATCAAAGACACACAAAAACTTCCGTCGCTTTCTCTTCGTCCGTTTCTTTTTGAGGCCATTTATACACACGGTGGTAACAACACCGAACCGTGTAAAATCGACCGCTTTTACTGTCTATTCAATAAAACGTGG